CCCCCCCCCCCCCCCCCATTATGTCTTCAGGCATGTCTACTTTACTGGGGAAGAAGATGGATGATCACATATCTATCCAGAGACTTACACGTGAGTCTAACAATTGTGGGATTAAGGCGCGAGTGTCTCGATTGTGGGATGCATACAATTTGAAGAACAAGAAAGATATAATCAGTACTGATATGGTCTTGATTGATGTGGAGGTACTGCTTTAGGTTTTCCTTTTAGGACTGGTTGTTATTTTTTTTCTAACATGTGTTCGTCTTACTATAAAGGGCTCTTATATTCATGCTAGCATGAAAGGGGTTGGGCACATGCATTTCATAATTCGATTGTTGAAGGTTTGTGTCTGAGGAGAAATTCACAGATTTAGTTGCTGAAAATGCTCAATTCAATAAGGCTCTCATGCATGTCTACTTTACTGGGGAAGAAGATGGATGATCACATATCTATCCAGAGACTTACACGTGAGTCTAACAATTGTGGGATTAAGGCGCGAGTGTCTCGATTGTGGGATGCATACAATTTGAAGAACAAGAAAGATATAATCAGTACTGATATGGTTTTGATTGATGTGGAGGTACTGCTTTAGGTTTTCCTTTTAGGACTGGTTGTTATTTTTTTTCTAACATGTGTTCGTCTTACTATAAAGGGCTCTTATATTCATGCTAGCATCAAAGGGAGTTGGGCACATGCATTTCGTAATTCGATTGTTGAAGGTAGTGTTTATTATATCAAGAACTTTGCTGTTGTGGATAACAAGAACCGGTATCGTGTTGTGGGAGACAACAAAGTTATGATCCAACTGTATGCAAACTCTACTGTCAAACGCCTTCCTGATGATACATCCAACATCCCAATGCATCGCTTTGACCTACTACCCTTTGATATGGTTGAGACCAGAATGAACCAAGAATATATCCTTACAGGTTTTTTCGTAGTTGCTTGGGTTTATTTTTCATTTTAGTCTGCCTTTGAACATACAAACAGCTTTTACATATGTGCAGATGTAGTTGGACACGTTTGTAGTGAGGGCACGATAGAGGAGAAGCACATTCATAATGGTGCCTTGCCTTATGCTCTACTACAGGATAAAAGGTAAGTCATGCACTCATGCTTGGATATATGATATCAACAAGAACAATGGTTGGTATTACAATTCATGCCGTAATTGCAAACGGTTGATCAAAGCATGCGGAGACAAGTTTTGGTGCAATAAATGCCAAACAGTAGTGGATGATGCTGTTCCGAGGTATGCTCCACGCTCGGTTTATACTTAAAAGAGGTTGGAAAACTGGAAGAAATAAAATGAATATAATATAGAGTAATACTCTA